ATGTGCGGACAGATTTGTTCCTTTTAGGAGTTATCATTTATTGTGAATCTTCCTCTAAAGCAACTAGGATGTGGGTTGTGCTACCCCGGGAGTAATCATCGAGTGCCTGTCACTGCTTATACCACAACACGACTTTTGCTTTGAAAGTCCTACGTCAAACTAGCAGAAGTTTCCAGAACTTGAATACCTGTTTGTCGCCCTAACCCTGATTACTACCTATTATTATAACCTGCAGCTGACACCCAACACTTTCCCTTTTCTGTACATATCCCATCCTGGTAGCTTTCATTTCACTTTTAGATTTAGGCCAGCTGCAACTAAGCACATGAGCGCGGCGCGGGTTACAGTATTGCGGTCCCACAGCGAATTTCGCAGCCGTCCCTCAGTTTACAAATAGCACCTAGCGTTACTTCTTGAGTTCAGGTCACTTGAGTGGGCGCTTTCAAACACCACCGACGTGCTTTGCTTCCACCCTGACCGACCAACCGAGCGACGGCGTTCCTGGCCACGTGCTGACAGCGTAGGACAGATCGTGTTCAGGGTGGCGTGAGTGGAGACCGACCGGTGTCCAGTATGTCAACACTAGCAACGCTGTCGGTCGGTCGGTCAGTGGAAACAATGCACTTTCATGAAGTCTGAGAGCACCTAGTGGTTGCTCAAGTTTAGTTCTTTTTAATTTTTCCTTACGAGTTTTCTATTCCGCCTTAAAAAAAGGTTCTACTCACCCGATGTTGTGGTTCTGGATCTTCGAAATTGAAATCGGTCTCAAGATTGCCAGATATCGCCCGTTTAAGTTCGGGTCCAATCTCGTGCAACGTTCGGAGACCAGCCTGAATCGAAGGAAATTTAGTGAAAAACGTGAAAACATTGTTCATGCTGAAAATAACAGTTTCATATTGTCACAGTGAATTTCCTTGCGACAGTAGAGCAGCTAGCCATGGACGCTTGCCATGCATTGCAACGGAAATGTGTCCTTTGTCAGCAAGAGCGCCCATATGGAACAAATTCGAATCTTACAGTTGACTAATTGTAAGGAGTCTTTGTGACGACTAGTTGCTGCTATACTTCGTTCAGTCATTGTCGAAAGCTATTTGGTTGATTCGCCCTATCCCTGGGAATAGCATTTAGGGACATTCCTTTGTCATGGCTTAAACTGGCTGTTCGAAGAAATAAATGCTAAGAACACGGCTAGTGGTGGACTTCCACTTCTTATTGCCCCTTTCCTTGACAAAAATGTTCTAGAAGGGAATAGACCTGACAATTTGCTCAGGTTTAAGATGAATTTCTCCTCTCTGTTGGGTGAACCATTGCAAAGTGCTCCAGACATGGCAGCTGCGTTGGCCCTTGGTAGTTTTATGAATTACTGCAAGGATGGGTGAATTTCCAGGTAAGACTGACGCAATCCCAGTACTTTTTCCGACGACAGAATATCCGTTGTTCGCTCTCCGAAATCCTTATTCACATTCTGAATAGGACGTTTTTGCGATTGTCACAGCAATCCGAAGCAAATGCCTACTTTCAGAAGAGAGAAATTTCAGAAGAACCCCCTTCCCCACTCTAGAAAAGGGAAGAGAAGGGAATTTTTAGGAGCCAAAAGAATTCTGCGTAAGGGAATTTCAAACTATCTGAAGTTTGGAACGTGCGGCTCTGATGTTCCTGTCAGTACAACAATTAGCGAAGTTACTGGAAGAGAAATGGGAACTACTCCTAACAAAATCGGAAATCGGCAAGGAATTTTGGAGAATCAGGCATGTTTCTACCCTGAAAACAGCGAAGTCGAATTACCTAATTTTCCATTTTTAGATCGACATCATCCAAAGATGACAATCAGTCCTAATACAGGATTAATATTGCTGGGAAGCTAGACTAGGAAGAACCAGAAATAGACCAAGTTCCGTCAGAGTCAACCAGGTTTGGTCTCAAGATTGCAACGTTTGCTCACCCTTAATTCCTCACAAGACATCACAAATCTTCAATTCTCGCTTTTTTTTNTTTTTTTTCAGAGTGCAGATTTGAGTGATAGAGATGAGATCCTTCAGCTTAGAGTTAAGTATGAATTCTCAAAAGGCTTAATTACTTTGTAATGTGACGCTTTCCGCTCAAATAACGCCAAAGTATTGGCTTGGCTGAAACATGCATGAAAACAAAAGTACGCATGCTCTAACTCATTGAAAAATCATGAGTAGGGAACTCAGCGAGATGGAATGAAGTTGCAGGGTTTAGCATCGGAACCTATGTTGCTAGATTGTTGAATTACTGAAATCGGGGAGACTATTTGGAAAAATAGGATTTTGTGATACATCGATGATACCATATGATATGATATGATATGATATGATATATTATAATATAATATGATATATAGGTATTGGCAAGATATTTAGGCAAGACAGGCAGACATAGGTAAGGTAAGGTGATGACTGAAGTAGGCCCACCACGAAAATTTCCGTCCTTCCCTGATATCAAGGGGGCCTCGTGGGGAATTGCGTCTTTTTTAGGATAAATCAAGGTTCCGAAATGATCTCTGAGCTTACTATCATAGGGTTTCAAGTTCTTTAGCATGATCGAAGGCAATTTGCCTGTCCCTTAGGATATGCAGTTGGAGTCAGTCAGTTACCGACCTATTATCCCCGCTGCAAAAACCTCATTGTAGTACGAAAAACCTGTAAAGATCGTATGAAATTTTCGTTGATGGTATCGAACCCCGCCAAATAGGTTTTGTTCTTTGAGCTGGACTGGAGAAACTTCCTTAAGCGCATCCAAATCGCCACCTAGTGATAATATTTCAGTTGGCAATGAGCCAGCAAAACCTAAAACCGACCAGCTGTTCCTTCCTTCAAGTGGTAGATGAATTGTAATTGATCATGTTTAAGGAGTCGAGTTCTTAAACTTGTGAGTTCCACGATCCACTTTAAGCTCCTGTTCCAATAAAAATAAAAGCATTCCTTCCAAAGTACTGATTTGTGGAGATGCGATTGGCCTCTACATGGCTCATTGAGCGAGTTTAGAACCTTCTACCCTTGTGAAAAACAGAGGATGTTCTGGATTAATTTCAAGGTGCTGAAAAGGGTAGAATTAACCAAATCTGCTCAATGAGCTATAAAGGAGTCCAAACGCACCTACCCAAGCACGTCTTTTTTAACTCGAGAAACTTTCAATTAGCTCCTCGAGGAAACATCTTCGAACTGAACGGCCTCTGTACAGGCCTGTCGGCGGGGCTAATACGAGAGTAGACAGTCCGAGCTCGCTAGAAGTCGGGGACTCGTTCTCGACTTCACCCTCAAGGTTTGCCTGTGAGCCTAGTGCGAGTCTCCTTCTCTGTATTTCAGGTGATGCGATAATTAGAATTAAATTTGTGGGCTAAAAAAGATAGCTGTCAGTTGGCAGTAGAGTGCGTGCTTTGGAGGAGTCATGCCTATTAGATGTCATTTACAATGCATCAAACGTTGAGAACGCGAATGTTTTTAGGATGGAGAAGGCGCAACAGCGAGCACTTAATGGCATGAATAGCTGAAATCGTTGTGAAGGTCCGGCCAGGAGCCTACCGCAAAAGTATGAGGCCCTTGAACTTGACTATTCTCATAAAGAAGTATTGGTCTCAGTCTTCGAATGGATTCTGTTGGAAGGAAAGGAGCAGAAGCTGCACGACGTGGCAAGCTATGGTGATGAGGTTATGGGCATGAGACCGATTTTTCATGTATCCTGTGATCTAGCCCCCTTTCCTGCAAACAAAATTACCTTCGCTGGTGTTCCACTATGGGACCCCTGAAATTTCAGTAAGGAAACTAAGCTAGGAGACACAAGTTCAGCCATGAATTAAAAACCTTCAAAAACTTTTGAGTGACTTGTGAGTAGCAACTAATTGGTTCTAATTGAGTCTGTACCTTTCAATAGAGAGTATCTGGCAGTTAAAGGAGCCGAAAGAGCACATTAAGGTGGAAGTGCTGAGCAAAAAGGACATCTTTACTACTCAAATGGGAATGTTTCACTTTTAAGTGCTAGCTTGGGGCGGGCAAAGAACTCCAGCACGGAAATTACTAACAGCTCGAGCATGCAAGGAATGAGCAAACAGAAGAGCAGCAGTGGTTGAAAGGCGGAGCTTAGCGGAATGACCATTTCGAGCATATCTCCATACGAAGAAAAACTAGAAGGTTAGAAGACAGCTTAGCTGAATGGAAAAAATGAACCTCCCACACAATTTGAAAGACTCAGTGGTCTCTCCGTTCTCCAAGTGAACATAAGGTCTGGGTGAGGGAGATGGTAGTGGGTAAATAGCAGCGTTACGTTACTAAAAATCTGAGAAATTCCCTGATCATAAGAACATGTTGTGTCGGTCAGAGTATTTCCGCATTCAGACTGATCGGGTAGCGGTAATGGAAGGCTTTCACCCACTGTAATTACCTCCTTGGACAAGCACATTCATCTAATGCCAAGCGATTTTCATTAAAATGCAATCGTAAAATGGTGGCTATGTCACTAAACAACGGGACCAATACATACATAACTAAGCAATTCGTATGCCAGTCATACACAGGATCTTTACGGGCCTCGCCCGGGGGAGTTTGACGGCCTACATGACTCAGTCGTTCGGAGGCTAAAGAATGTCATGTTATCCCCTGACTTGGATCATTTCCTCATGAAGCTGGCGCTCGGACTGGGTGAGAAGTCTCCAACAATTCGGGCTGATGGGGAAACTTACCCAATAACTCGGGTTAGTACGAGCTCATGGGTAAGTTACCGGCTTCGTGATGGCTTTTGTTGTTAGAAAGCAGTCTAAGATCATGACTGACTAATCCATCCACGAGGCTATCAAGTCCGATATTAATGGGTCCATTAGTGTGGACCACATCGAAAAAAACAAAATGGAAAGATACTGGTAATGCCATCGAAGTAATGGGGTAATTGGATGTGGAAAAGGCTAACAAAGACATCCGAGGAGCTACATGAAATTTGACCGAAATCCCAAAAACAAAGGCAAAACCTAACTATGCAAGTGGACGTACCAGGTACAGAATACTAATCATCAATCGGAAAGAAAGCCCCCATCGGAATGGGCTCGGAAATATGGACTTTAAAGCTTCTGAGGCATAACTCCGGTAAATCAAAATGCAGCTGCAGGAGTATGGAAGAGTTATTTAGTGCCAAGAAAAAAAAAACAAACAGACCCCCTCGTTGGTAGACTGGCTTTTGGCCTCGGAGGGACTCTCCAGAACGAATGAACGAACACTATCAGCAACCCTGGCCGCACACGTTTGGATCCTATGACCTATAGGACCCAAAGGTGTGCGGCACCGGTTGGTGATAGTTTGGTTCAAGAGGATCCCTCCGAGCTAAAAGGGATCCGGACCCTCTGATGTTTGAAGTATCCGGCCAATGTTTAAGGTGAGTGAAGATCGGGAATAACTCCACTGTTGTTGCTAGAGGGTTACGGCATTTTACAACTACTGGCGATCATAACCAGTTGCTATCCAGTAGCGTTTGAGTCTCCAGATCTTTCGTTGCCTTCACTGGATTCTTGGTCTTGAGGCCAGAGGCATCCCGGCAATCGAAAAACGAGCCCGCTTAAGGATTTATTCCCTATGAGCGGGACTTAGTATTAAAAAGTTGCAGAGAAGCTCAATTAATGAACTGCCGCGATAGCTCATTAATTCTCTCGGAGGAAGGGGGGGGGGACATTCCCCAAAATTAACAGAGCGATTATACGAAGCCAAATTTTGCAAAAAAAATCTCAATTTCGGGCATTGACATGTATCGGGAATTTATAGGAACATTTTGTAATATTCATAAATATCCAGAACTGACTTTATAAGAGAGGCTAATATTCGTAGCATATGGAAGCTCTCAATTTCTGTAAGCAAGGGGATGCGCGAGAGAAGCCTCCAGTAGTGTCAGTCTACGTCTTATTCATATAAATTAAAAATGAATTAAAAATGTTGGGACGGATCTAATTTCAGAGTGGGTACCTATAAAGAAGCTGAAAACTCTATGAGTGTTAACCAATATCCAGTGAAAATTCAAGTGTTTATCTGGAAACGCTGTAAACACTCCAAACAAACTGCTAAGCCATTTCCTTGTAATCATCTCGAGGTTGCAGGCCAACAATATTTTCCACCGTTTGAGGAAAACCATGAACTATGAGCTGATTCACTCAGAAACAAAACTAGCTGCCAAGGGGTAGTTCCCAGAGCCTCCTCGAATGGTAATAACCCAAAAAAGTGACCAGTGAGTGGCGCTAATGTCAGGGTTAGGGCTTCACCAAAAAAGTATTCTCCTTTTAATCCGAGGTATAGATCGAAATATGAAGGAGGAGCCTGAGCTGGGTGAAAACCTGAGATGCTCGAGTCACAGTCGAGTAGACTGGAACTTATGGCGACACCCAGTGAAGTGCAAATAAGATTTAGGAAACAAAGAATCCAACATGGGACGATGAAAGGGCTTATTCTTGTCCGACGAGTTCTATAAGAGAGAGTGATTACGTCCATTCAGACTTCCACTCACCTCAAAAGGAATTATTCAGAAAAAAGTCAAGTAGCACCCAGACTCATTCGCAGAGCTGGAGATGTTTCTCGCAATACTAGTTGCTTGAGTAAACTTAATAATGTGGCGTATCCGAAAATACAAACAGATATCTCTTCCTGGGGGGGGGGGGGGGGG